CACTGTATATTGGTTACAGCATTGTTGAGCTGCTTATTACCACACACTATATTGGTTACAGCATTACTGAGCTGCTTATTACCACTCACTGTATATTGGTTACAGCATTGTTGAGCTGCTTATTACCACACACTGTATATTGGTTACAGCATTACTGAGCTGCTTATTACCACACACTGTATATTGGTTATAACAACACACTGTTAGTTAGCTACAGCATTACAGAACTCAAAGTTCCTGTAAGTTTGTGATGTCATTACTGTGGCTGTCGGTACTGTTTCTGCACTCTTAAGTTTAGTACTACTTGTTGGTAATTCATATCTGTTTCTGGTTTAAGAACTATATATTTCAGTGACATGAGTAGTGTACAGTATTGTTAAACACAAGTCCTGTTGATGGCAGAATTGTGAAGTTCAACACCAGTGCCAGTAGTGTTAATAACAGCGATGCTTAAGCTCAACAACGCTGGAGTTGGTTACACTTCTGTGAAGTAAAGCACCACCATTGCTTGCTACAGTGCTATAAAATTAAGCACCACCAGTGCTGGCTACAGTACTGTAAAGTTAAGCATCATCAGTGCTGGCTACAGTACTGTAAAGTTAAGCACCACCAGTGCTGGCTACAGTGCTTTAACATTAAGCACCACCAGTGCTGGCTACAGTACTGTAAAGTTAAGCACCACCAGTGCTTGCTACAGTACTGTAAAGTTGAGTACCACAAGTGATGGACACAATACTGTAAAGTTAAGTATCACCAGTGCTGGCTACAGTGCTTTAAAATTAAGCACTATCAGTGCTTGCTACAGTGCTATAAAATTAAGCACTACCAGTGATTGCTACAGTACTGTAAAGTTAAGCACCACCAGTGCTGGCTACAGTGCTTTAAAGTTAAGCACCACCAGTACCAGTCACAGTACTGTGAATTAAGACCCACCAGTGATGGACACAATACTGTAAAGTTAAAGACCAACAGTGTTTGTCATTTTAATACTAAGTTAAGCACTACCAAATGCTCGTCATAGCACAGCTATACCAGGTTAAACACAACTAGTGCTGGTCACAGTGTTGCTAAGTTAAGCACCACCAAATGCTGGTCATAGCACAGCTATACCAGGTTAAGCACAACTAGTGCTGGTCACAGTGTTTCTAAGTTAAGCAAATTGGTGTTATGTCATACTAGAGATACCATACATACAATGGTTGTGTATGCGTGGTAGAGTTTTGGGAGGGGCTTCGTCATCCCCCCCAGAATGGAGACATTATTGCTGGTAGAATTCCTATGTGAAGGATAAGTTGGACAATTGTCACATGTCATATCTGAAGTCTCAGTCTGATACTTCTGTAGGAAGTTGAAACCAATTTCTCCATTGCCAAAGAAACCGAGCAATGGTGTCTTTGGAAACATTTTCCTGAAGACTGATGATTCCACATTTTCACTGCCGTAGTGACCCTTGCCTCGTCCTAGACAGGCAAACATGAAGGCGTAACTCCTCTCCTCAGGTAAGTTACAGTCCTTGAGCTGCTTCAGTATTCTCTCCACTTCCTCAGGTCTGTGGATGTCTTCCTTGATGACTACTGAGGCCACCCTCACCTGTGGTCCACACAGGGCCACGCACATCATGGACGCTGAGCCAGACTCGCTACAACATATGGCAATATTCCACTTTTAAATAGGTACAAAGTATGGAGACAAGTAATACTTTTATTTATAACTATTCAAAAACATGAGTATGTGTTTTTTTTTCCTTTTCACAATCACAACCAGTCATTGTCACATTGTATGTTTCGGTCAGTTCTGAAGGCAACAACTGACCTGTCACAGTCTTGTAATAGGTATTGCCCCGACTCTGGCCCTTCAATATCTGGTAAATAATGTTGGTTAATTTTATCAACTCTGACCTGTTAGCCTTTCATTTTGAGTCTAGATTAATTCTGGCCTCTCAGTATCTTTTTGTGGGTGTTGATTGATTCCGATGTCCATCTACCACACACATATTTCATGGGATACATATCTTATGCACATTCTCAAAGAAAATTGATTGCAAATTCAGATATGTTGTGAAGATTTACTTAGTGAAGTGGTAACAAATATTACGACAAGACTAAAACTAAAAATTACTAGCATTCGAAAAATTATGTCACACTGCATGAGGTCTCCAGAGTTTATCCTTACATACACTAGTCAGTATGTTGATAACTTTCACACATAGATCATGCAGTGTTTGTATTATGTTATAACATATCCATGTCCATGACTACACTAAAACAAACAGTATTCAACACCTTCCACATACCTGGCAGGGTCGTGTGGGTCGGGGTCAGAGGTTATGAGGTTATCTACATAGCCCCCAGCTATCACAGCTCCGTCGTACAGCTGTAACAGTGAGTAGCCAATCTCCGGGGGACAAAACGGCTCATCACAGAAGAAAAAGACGGCTTTTACTTCCTTGTCTGGCGGCACAGTGCTGAGTTCTGTCAGATATGTCAATCCAGAATGTGTTTCATCCATTTGATTTGCATAATTGTAAATGTCTACATTAAATGTAAAGAATTCCACCCCCTCGACATGTGGTAGAAAAAGACACGTGAGAGCCAGCTCGCTCTCCACCTCCGCAGTTCTCTTCAGATCTTTACTGGTACCTGGAACAGTCATAAATACCACAAGTGTGGGATACTTGGGTGAATCAAACTCACAGGATTAAATGTATTTACAAGGACTATACTTAACCCCCAGTTTTAACTACCTCAGCTTTAAAGTGGTGATTGAAAATACTCTGCTTTACGGAGTTCATTTCAAAGTATTGAAAACAACATGAATCCTATGTAACATCAGCTCATGTCATTTTTATGAACAATTATAAGTTATTACACTAAGCTCAAATCAGTATTGGTTGCCATAGAAAGGGTAGGTTTCTATCGATTTGGGGCATGATTCATGGAAGGTGTCACTGTTACTAAAATTATCATTTTCTTCTCAGACTTGAACTTCAAAACAAAAGATCACACAATGTCAAAGATCAGACGTGTTGTGTAAGATCCCCTGGTGAAGAACTTTTGGTATGATATGTTTTTTACATCATCTTATACCAATCTGTCCATATAAAGTTTACAATATCTAATACATTCCGCATGTCACTCTGGAATTCAAACAAAATCACTTTGCACTCATGATCAACACCACAATCTTTTTGAAGGGACTATTCTTTGTTTATATCTATATATATTTTTTTCAATTTGAAAGAAAATTGGCATTTTATATTTAAAACAACATTAATTAAACATTCACCAATAATCTAAAGCTACAGTTGGCTCAATGTAAATAATATGTAAGCAATTATTTATTTTAGGAGTCAAACCTGCCTGTATCTGTAGGTTTTTAGAGCAAGTACTCTAATAATAGCCTACAACAGGTTACAAACACTACACAAGTAACACAAATAGCTGTAGCTTATCTTACACATTGATACCTACCCACAATGCCATCGGATGAAGCAGCCAGCAGTTTACAAGTCTTAGGTATCACCTTCCTCATTAGATCTCCTACACTGCTCAACATACACTTTGAAGCCCGTGGGTGTCGCATCTGGTGACGTGTGGGTAGTGGGATTTGCTGTTCAAACAACTGTGATGTACAGTACATAAAGAGAACACTGGGTTCTGTCCTTAGATCCTGTGTAAAACAAAACATTGGTATGTATCCTTGAAAAAACTCACTATAAAACTGTCACAGTAGGAAAACTATTAGTCATGTGTTGTAAAGCTTCTTTTACAAATAATATAGGGTGCTTTACAAATGTTGAATATTATTATTGACAGTACAAATTTTGACAGATTCATCTACCCCTGTTTCACCTTTGTTTGATTTTCAGTATGGCAGTGAATTTAAATGTGGGTCAAATGTTTGAAGACCCCAAAGATTACATGCAGAATGGGCTTTACTAAATTGTTCAACGTGTAGTAGGGTCCAGATGGGGTTTGGGTGGAAAAGGAATTTGCAGGAAAAAAAAGTTTTGAACATTTTACCTGCACTGCAGACATAATCTCAGCAGCAAGTCCATCCAAACTCTCATCTTCATCATAATCAGCAAAAAAACATGACATGCTCTTTCGCCTCTGTTTTAGTGATTTGGCAATAGTATTCCAGGTGCTACAGACCCTGTCAAAACAAAACAAAACTTCTGATCTCAAAGATAAGGCTTGTTAAAATAGCTGACTCCTTTTAAGATTTTTATGGCAAAGATATACTCTGGAACCTATTTTGGTAGTTAATTTCCAAAGGCCAGCATGTATAAAATAGGACATGTTCGATTAATAAAACACAAAAAGAGCAAATAATGACTTAATTCCCGATTGTTTACCTCACAAGGAAATATGCTATGGCTTGGTGTGATATGAAGGTCAATAATATTGATAATGGTCATTAGAGTGGTTTTCGGTTTCAACAAATTTTATTGTATTTACAAAAGGATGAGACAACAGGCAGTGTCTATATTAGTCTTCTCCTGAAACGGTACAACATATATATACATTTACAAAGAATAATAAGATATATTTACAAAATTATCGATAATTAATTACGCATTGAAATAAATTGACATTTATATGGAAAATATGTATATATGTTTGAATAAATGATATGGCTGAATGTTTACACTACACACACTAATAACAAGGCTAACACTTCTACCAGTGGCGTAGATGACTAGTACATTTTCGATGTTATGGTACAAGTACAAGTACTGCGTCTCTGGCAACGTACATACTTCTAAACACACACGCACACACACACACACACACCCACACACACATTCACAGAGCAGATTGATATAACGGGAAGTATTAGATAAAAATATACTAATCAAATTCGAGTTAGGTGAATCTATTAGTTAAATCAATAAATTTCTCAACTTTAGATAATATATAATTATTAGTTTCTGGTGATAGCTCATTATCTCCTGATGTAAGTAATTTCAGACTAATAAATCCTACTACATTATATATTTCATAAAAATCCAGTCTGAATCAGAATTATTAGGACAAAAAAAGGAAAAATGATCAGCATCTTCGCGCAGTGCTCCACAAGAACAACTGCCATCTTGAATAAGGTGATCAGTAAATTTATCGAAGTTTAAATCACTTGCTTTGTGCCTGATTTGACAGAGTATTATATTAAGATTCCTAGGATTGTACTGTTTAAAGATCAGGGAAATATTATCTACAATGTACTTGATTATTATGATAGTTAGTAAGTCTATATTTGAACAAAGTAAGGGAATTAGCAGATGTTATAGAAGAATCTAATAAGTTCCATAAGTTCATTTTATCAGGAAAGAAACTAGTGTTGTAGATATGAGTTCTAGCTTGAGGTACATTAAAGAATCTAGTATGCCTTAATCCATATGGGTTATTAGCTTTATTAATAAAGGTACAATAATATTATAAAGATAGTCAGGTGTTAAGCGGTTTATTATCCTATACATTAGAATTGATTTATGTTTATGACGTCTTAAACTTAAAGTTTCCATATTTACCTCAAGGTATAGTTTACGATGAGATGTCCCACTTCTTAATCCCGATATAATTTTCATAGCTTCAATTTGAACAGATTCTAGCATATTAGAGTGGTTAATTGTAGTATGTTGTCATTTGTAACCCGAGTTTTTGATTTGAGAATGTGATATATATCTCCTTAGAATCTACTTAGATTTACATGCCGTTTGTCATCGATGAAGTAGAGATGCTATGTCCCTTCTGGAACACATGGTCGTATTCTCCTTGTATGTTTTGAGGGCAAATCTTTCCTTTTTCATACTCTGCCCTAGTTTTTTACAATTGATTCTTCAAGTCAAAAATATACATGTGGGTCATTCTAACAAGTAGATTCATTTATCACCTGGGTATGATTTTACTGTGGATTACATTGTGTTGTGTAACGTTAATGTACATTCTATCACCTGGGTATGATTTTACTGTGGATTACATTGCGTTGTGTAACGTTACTGTACGTTATGGTTTATTTATTTCAAAATGTAGTTTGGTACCAGCTGCCTCTTTCTATGTTATTTTTAAAAAGAACTTAAAGACTTACCTGTACACAACTGATCAAAAATATATTCGAGAAACAGAACTTTTCCTCAGACGTGAGGGGATACGTTAGGGTTCCTGTGCATCCCCTCAAGTAAGAGGATGTCCAACAATTCAATCCGTTCTACTTTTGTTTCGTGTCGGGGTCTGAGAAGTTAGAACTACTGAAACTTATCCGTGGTTTCTTGCATGAAGATGTTTTTGTATATTATGAATAACTACCTGGAACATGTGTTGAGTGATTTCGCTGATAGATTCTGCAATACCAGATTTGCTATCACTGGTATATTTAGGACGACAGCAGGCGATAGAATTGAAGCATGCTCCATTTTGAATGTTTACGTTTCCCAACCGATCACGTGATGTTCTAAAAATAAATACACATTAGGGGCATGTTATTTTTGTTGAAATATTTATTTTCTACACATAGAATAAAATGTAATTTATCCTTGAATCGTAAAATCTAAATAACTAGGCCTATCCTATTCAAAAGGCATTTGGCATTTCGTGTGATATAAATAATCGACACCGTTCAAATGTTTGAAAAGCTCGAGAAAAGTTCAAGCATCTCAATGACAAAGCCAACTGGTTACAAGACGATAAAAAATGTTTACAAATGGCTGGCTCTAATCGTGCAGTGCGTTAAATTAGACGCAGTCCCCGGTTAAAAACCAGACATGGGGTCTGGGTATAGTAAATCTAGTCAGGTGCAGGCAGTTCATTTTGAACCAGAAGGAGACAAATCAGAGTCAAGGTATGCACGCCAGTTAATTTATTTTAGTCATGATTACAGTACCGACTATGGTCATGCCTTTTAAGTTTTGATGAGGCTGTACTGGCTTCAGAAGTATCAAGTCTCTACTTCTAGTATACAGACATCCTGGCCAATTGAATACCTGATCATTATGTATGATTTGCCTTCGAAAACAAATGTTATCAACAAACGCATGTCACTATGATCAATGGTGTTGGAAATCTGACTGTAAACTGAGATAAAAAAATCATATAAAAAAAAGAAGGGTATTACTTTAAGAAAATTACATTTTTATAGTATTTTTTTGCTATGATGGCATGTTTCCACAGTAGTCCAAAATATGAGACTGCGTACTGTAGCTACAAATGTAGCTGGATGCGTTTTAAGGTGCTAGTGTGTATTGAAACCGTAAACTATAGACAAATGTTTCAACAACAGTTGTAGATACAACTGTACTTTCGTTTGTGAATTCAATTAATTAATTTATGGACTGATCTTATTTTAATCACAGACCATCTTCAGGCAGCGTCAAAAGGACCAAATCCAGGAGCTCCAAAGATGAGGTATAGCAATATGCCAACTTATATGTACTATAAACAATTCAAATGTCTATGTGCCGAAGAAAATAAGATAGACTAGATCAAGTCTGTAAGATGTGAATTCCCAACAGGGATTCCTTAGTCCTGTATTCCATACATGAGTAAATTTAATTCTTATTTATAGAGGAAGTGACTATATATGACATTTTACTGAAGACTTTCAGTTTGAAGCATCAATTCATTTAATTAAAATACATAATATTTAAATGCTCTTAATATTCGTAAAAGAATCATTAAATATGACTGAGGATGGGGACGGTATAGAAAGAGTGATGGCAAGCATTGTTAATATAAGGTAACAGTGATAATGAACTTGTATGCCAGTATCCAGAAATGCAAACATGTGCAAGCTAGGTTAAGATAAATACCTGTCCAGTCTCCATATCTGTGCACGTTTACTGTGTATTCTAGGGAAGGACATTAAACACAGCCAAATTAAGGCAATGCTATGATAAACCAATAAGAGATCATTCAAAGCATTTTTACATCTGCTCAGTGCTGAACTTTCTTAAAAAATAAGTGTAACATTATTTATCAATGTCCAGATTAATTATTGTGATATCCAGTGGCCATAATGAGATATGCCACTGATATATATATTCATTTTACTTAAAAGACATAAACATAATCTCATAATACTGTGAAATAGAGTGGAAATAGACATGTCAATATATTTTTGAGCAAGATAAATGTTCAAGTGAATATTGATTTTTTTGAAGAGTGGTGTAAATGAAGATGTGAAATTGAAAGAGGCAGAGAAGAGGATTTTGGAGCTAGAAAAACAGGTAATGATGTTCCTGAAAAATTGTGTTCAGATTTTTATATCTTGAAAATCAGTTTATGTATACTCTTAGTCATCTTTGCTAGCCAAGGGTTAAGATCCGGTACGATCGACCTACTGTTCACTCTGGAGAGTAGGAAGACTGGATCATAACCCTTGGCTAGCGAAGATGACTCTTAGTACATATATATAACTTTACTTATGGCTTGTGAAAAAATATAACATACAGCAATTCTTATTATCACAGTTGTTAGTTCATATTATACACATGTTTATAAAAATTAACAATAAATAAATACTGTTTACTGGGAAATTTTCAACCAGTCAAACTTTCACCCTGCATCAGTGAAATCCATATTCACCGGCCAGTTTTAATTTTACCCTTCACATTTAATTACTGTGTTTATAATGTTGTTTACTAATGTTAGATGTAATGAAGAATTTGCCCTCATTACGGAGGATGTAAAATGCGAAAATGAAACTGCAGCAAAAATGACCTGGTATACAATTCAGCAACACCTCAGCCTTCCTTACATGTGTTTTTTCTACCCACGTACATGTTACCTTTAGTCGGCTGAGACAGAGAGTGAAAACCTTGATCTACAGGACCGTGTACAGGGGCTGGAGTGTCAGCTTGACCAGGCAGCTAGACTACAAACTGTGCAGGAACTTGAAGAGCCAGAAGATCTAACCGAGACCCTGAAAGCCAAGGACATGTCCATAGCTAATGCCGAGAAGGAAAAGAAAGCTCTCCAGACAGAATTAACAAAAATGGTAAACAATAAACATTACACTGTTTATTAATATCAAGATTTTAATAATACTTTGTGAAATTTGTATTACTAACATAAGCAGTCTCCTTTGTTCTTTTCTCCATTTGTGTTCCTTGCATTGTCTTCATGTTATTTATGAATGGACTTGAGAGTCCACTTATTTTACTTTCATTTTAATCCCTACATGTCGCTTGTTACTAAAATTAATTAAAATCATTGCATAAAACAGCTTAAACGATTCACATTTATTATTTAATCTAGATAGGGTTATTGTAAGTATTATTTCAGACATTTTTTGTAAGATATTGCCAGGCAGTTTCTCCACCCTGAAAATATTCAAATACATTGTAGTTGGCAAATACCAAGGTATATATATACAAGTACAAGTGTTTGTTGGACGGTTAGAGCACTTTACTATTGGTTTTGTTTCTAACAGAAAAACCGATACAGGAAGCGGATCAAGACTCTGATGAGCCAGGTGTCCGAGGCAAAACAGGAGCAGTCCATCCAAATGTTTGAGCTACGAGATGAAATCAGCCGGCTACGGGAGGAGAACAGGAAAGTTAGAGGTAATGATCATAAATAAAACAGATAGAAATGATAGGAAATCTAGGGTAACTCATCACACTAATACATTGTTTATGCTGATGATGTCACGCGCATGTATATAACTAAAATGTTTTAAAACATTTAAAAATGCACCAACACTGATGATAACAGGTTAATTATATACCTCCCACACTTAATTTGACATCTTTTTGTACATTTTTTATGATGATGAACTATTACAATGGGTCTGACTAAAGATGTTGATCTTACATGTCCAGGCAATGCTGTACTATATTACCGCTTTTCTCCTTATTTCAGAAAAGAGCAATTCTGCCTCCAGTAAAACATCTGTTGAAGAGGAACCTCCGGGTGGTAACAAAATGATGATTGTGGTGGAATTGTCCAATCAGGTTTCTGAGCAAGAAGATACAATCAACAAGCTGGAGAGAGAAAACAAAGAGAAACAGCTGATAATTGACAAACTTTTAGTTGAGTCTAAAAACGGAAGTAAATTAAAATATTTTCCCTCGCCGAGGAGAGAAGATTTAGAAAGAGAGAAAGAAACAGAGGAAAAGAATTCTTTACAGAAATTATCATCTGGACTAGGACAATATACAAAACCTCCTATGTCTGGAGGGAACAACAGAATGCCAGGAAATGACATTGACTTTGAGGACGAACGAAATTGTTCTGGTGCTAGTCGTGACTCTGGTCTGGGATCTGCCAGCAGAAACGGCAGAAATCCTCCAAAGTTAACCTCAGGTTTATCCAAGCTGTCCACTCTGTCCGACTCGGATTGGGAATCAGATGAACCTTTGTCTGTACAGTCTAAAATCCGGAGTGCTCCAGCCGATGTCCATGCCAAAAGGACAGCCTCCAGGTGTAGTACAATTAGTTATAAAACCACAGAAGATGACTGTATATCTGTAGACGATAGTGCCTCGGTATCATCAATGACAAAGAAGTCAAAGAAAATGTCATACCTTCAGCGAAGGTTCCGACCAGAGATTGGACACGGAGACTCTACAAGATCACCACTGCCTACAATGAATGCATTTGAAAATGAGACTAGTTTACAAAGCAAACATTTTTTCCTCACACAGTCTGGTTCGCCTATCAGTGAATCTGACCCAGTACCAGCACATTGAAAACAGCACCAAACTACCCCCTTTAACACATTCCAACAACCTATTCCATTTAAAGACAGCTAGAAAACTGTTACTTTCTGCATTCCCTCAGTGTGAAGGTTTGAGGAATTATTATTACATCATTAAATCTTCAAAAAGATTAGGAAAATGTTGAATATGTATTTGTGCTTATTGCTTATTGTAAGCCATTGTTTGATGTGACTGTATCCAGGTCACACATACTTTACAGAGAGATCATTTTAAGTTGTGTAACCTCAGTATACTTGTTGCCACATTTACATATAATAGGCATAAAGAGACAAATACATCCATGCTACCAGGCAACAGGTCCAAGCATCACTCTGGGGACTTAGTTCCTGCTTCATGTCTTTGAAATGGTTGAAATCTCTACCCTTAAACTACATATCACAATAGCTTAAATAACAAATACAACCATGCTACTAGGATCAGCCTTGGTGTCCAGCCATGCCCCTGATGTCTTAGTCTCTGGGTTATAACTTAGCATTGGTTGTAATCATATTAACAATTGCTAGGCATGAAAAGATAAGCAATCATGCTACCGGGATGGCTACTAGGTCCAGCCAGGCCCCTGTAGGCTTAGTTCCTGGGTCATTAAGTAAATAATTATACAGTTATAAGTACTAGGCATAAGAATAAGAAAGAGTCGTTGGGAGAAGGAAATAAAATGTTATTTAAAGTAAGGATCAAGTCCCAAAAATGGGAAATATTGAGAATTGATGATGTTTTGTTGTATGTTTCATTTACATATTAATAAAGGGTTATTTTTATCATGTGACAATCAGCTCAATGGTTTACTGTGATATGATCCATTAAGTCCAGGTGGTGCTGATACTGCTGCACATCAGCCTTACAATACCACTACATATGTTCAACCTTAGAGAGTGTGAGTTATATACAACAAAGGAATCGGGCGAGATGTGCTATGATGGTACATCTGCTCATAGTGTGGTTTATTTATATACACATGAATTGATTCTTCCTGTGTTAACTTAATTATTAAACTGTTGATCATTTTTTCAATCAGAAGTGTTTGTTCTATATATCATTTTGTATTTGTGATCAACTTTTAGATATGTGCTTGAGTAGAATGAAACAACAAAAAGAAACTAGAAACACTGAGCAAGCTCAAACAGACATATCCCCCGCTTGTACTTAACTTGTTTCTGGAGCAGAAGTCTCAAGGGCCACAATTCCATAAAAACAAGACAATTCGGCAAATTATAGTCCCCTACTGAATGTGAAATGCACAGATGATAAATTTGTGCAGAAACTCAATTCTATATATGAATGTTTGACAGACCCACAGCATTCAATTAGGAATAGTGTCAGCGACCTGGCCAAAAACAGAGTGACCTACTTTGATATACGACACACACCCTCACTAAGATGAACCCATACTCCAAGTATAAAGTTCCAGTGACTAGTAGTGTAGGAGATAGAGCCTGGACAAACTTTTTCTTTGATGCAGGTCAAAGGTCAAAATCTTGGTCAGAGTGACCTACTTTTAATACACAACACACCACCTCACCAAGGTGAACCCATACCCCAAGTATGAAGTTCCAGTGACTAGTAGTGTAGGAGATAGAGCCCGGACAAACTTTTTCTTTGATGTAGGTCAAAGGTCAAAAT